GCACATAGGGGTTTGAGGTCAGCTCATTGTGTAACCACAGAATATAAATTTTAAGAGTCTCTAATGTGACTCACCAAGATGAAAAACAGAAACTTTCTGTTCAGCACTAGTTAATGTTTGACAATGTATTTTGATTCACCTGTGTTTCATTTTTGTCTCTGGAATCAGAACTCTTAAGAAAAATGGTTAAACTGTAAAACAATGGCTTATTGATGTAATCATGTAACTTTGTAATTTATAATCTAAGCTCTGCAGCTACAAAATTACACTCAGACTTTCATCAAGCTCCTTAGTGTCTGTTTGTCACTAGCCGACTCCTTGTCCACCCTCTCGATGACCCTGTTCCCGTCGGACTGAACTGCCCCGGTCTGGGCTGGTCCGTCACAGCTGGGAATTGAACCCGGGTCCTCTGCAAAATCAGTCAGTGATCTTAACAGCTGAACCATCTCTCCAACCCTGGATGTTTCTTTTTAACACCCAGAACCTACTTGTAGGTGAAAATAGTGCTGAATGAGAGATGTCTTTAGTTTTCCTTTTTTTTTAAAAAAAATTACTTTATTTTATGTATATGAGTGGATTGCCAGCATGTATGTAAGAACACCCATGTTGTGCAATGCCCACGGAGGTCAGATGAGGTTTTGGATCCCCTGGAACTGGAGTTACGGATAATTGTTACTGCCATGTGTGTGCTGGGAACCAAACCAGTGTCCTCTGCAAGAGCAGTCAGTGCTCTTAATTACTCTTTAGTTTTCTCTAATGGATATTGATACAGTTTTTTGTTTGTTTGCTGTAAAAATTTACATTATTTATTTTAAGTATATGTATATGTGAGTGTATGTGGCATTGTACCTATGTACACAGAGGTGTCTGCAGATTCCAGAAGAGGGTATTGGAGCCCCTGGAACTGAAATTACAGATGGTTGTGAGCTGCTCTACATGAGTGCTGAGAACTGAACTTAGGTCCTCTGGCATTAAAATGTGCTCTTAGCCACTGAGCTTTCTCTCTAGCCACAATAATTTTTTTTAAATTTCAGATTAGAAATATTAAAAGTGGTGAGAATAAAACACAAAGGGTTTATATTGGATAAGCAATAAAATCTAATATTTACAGTACCATGAAGTAAAACTGATAAGAATAGTATGTAGCAAAAAAGGGAGAATCGATTCTTCATGGTAACTTAAAACTTTACAAAAGATAACTCTGAATCACTGATATTTGTCTTTGAATATTTATAAACAAATACAGATAGACAAAAGAATAGAAAGTTTCAGAGTTCCATAAAATGCAGTCATTTTAGGAAAGTGGGAAAGGACAAATAAACCCCCAGGTGATAGTCTCCAGATCGCTCATTTGATTGTGGTGATGTAATAGAGATATAATTTGTATTCCACGCACTGTGTGAACCAGTTATTGGAGA